CCGGCGTGGGGCACGGGAGCAGCACCTCCAGGTGTGCTGAACTGAGCTCCCGTCACCTGCAGCAAGCGGGGGCCCAGCCTCCCTGGGGGCCTCGGGGTTGGGGGCCTGTACGAAGCACGTGGCTGCCCTCGGCAGCTGTGCCGAGCCCAGGGTGCCCTCTCCCTCCGTGACGACACGCAGCCTTCCTGCTGCCACACAGGCCGTCTCGAGCCCGCCCGGATCCGAATCCCCGTGGCAGGCGTGGGAAGCAGAGAGCGAGTGGCCCGCAGAGGCCAGCTGCAGCTACGGCAGACCTCCCCACCCCGGGGCTCTTCTTGGACCGCAGTGCCCGTCATTCCCCGCCGGTGTGGGCTGTGAGATGCCCAGCTCGGGCCTGGCAGCGCACCGAGATCGCTGGCGGTCTCTCCAGACCACGCGCATTTTCAAGCCTGATTGCACCGCAGCGATGAGGCAACGGCTGGGCCATCCCGGAGGAGCACGGAATGACAGCGCAGCTTGGCGCCAGGCGCCTGTCACCAGAGGTGCCGGTGCTTTGAGCCGGCGGCTGGCCCTTCCTCAGACTGGACTGTGCAAGCGGATTTGGGGTTTGCTCTCCGTATTCTCCCTCTTCCCAGAGATGGAGTGGAGAATTTATTCAGCTGTTCCTCAGCTGAGCGTACATTCAGTCTGATGACTCAGTCAGCCCTTGAATAACTCCGTCTCCTCGGCTGCGGGAGGCCCATGCGGTTTCTGTTCCTTCTCCATTCTTTTGAGGTGGTGTACACAGCGGTTTTGGTTTCCCTCTGGAAAACCTAAATTACGGAGGGTGAGCTTGACTCTAGCAGAAGTGTTTTTCAAGCTGTTTTTGTTGGCAAGTGTCCCTGTTTTTAGGAGATTTAAATTGCAGTTCATTAGTTATATTATTCTTCTACATTATTCTTTCTTACTCACTGGAAGGTGTTATCTTTTACCATAAATGGGGCTTCCTGATGTTGTAAGGCTCAGATGAATGGAAACTGTTGTTTCTGAGCAGTCGGATTTTTAAAAAGGCACGTGGCTCTTAAAGATTAGGGTTCGGTCATGAGCAGAATAGTAAGCGGCGCTCAGCGACATTGCTGCACTCAAAGTGCACCATGCGCGTGCTGAAGCCTCGCTTTCAGCCTCCAGGATGGGTGTTCACGGCACGCTGTCCGGGGCGGCGGCTGTGGGGCTCATGCCCCGGAAATGCTGCTTCCTCGCGGCCTGCCCCCCTCCTCCCCCCAGAGGCCTCTGCTGCCCAGAGCAGCCCAGGCGTGGGGGTCCCGGAAGGGGCTGGGGGGCTGCACTGCCAGTTCCTTCCTCGACTGCTGCCGGTGCAGATTCTGTTCAGACGCCTCAATGGGTGGATCTGCCTTGTTTCCCTGGACGCAGCTTCTTTGGGCGGTGTGGGAGCCAGCCCGCTGGCTTGTAAGCTGGCCCGGCTGCTGAGAACTGACTGGGCCCAGCACTTGAGGGCAGGCGGGCAGGCACCTGAGCCGCGGCCCCGAGCCCCCCCTTGGGCTCAGGAGCAAAGACGGGCCTTTTGGTGGGGCCCCCAAGCCACAGCCGAGGCACGTCCCCGGCATGGAGAGGTACGGGCGCATCCTCCGATCAGCCCGCATCTCCCGGTTGGCGCTCAGCAGGATGATCAACGGCGGTGGCCGCCCGCCCGGCCTTCCTCGAGGGGAATATCTAAGCGAGTGTGTTGGCCGTCCGGTCTAGATGGCCGCATGCCGTTCCGTGAGCAGCCACCTTGCTTCTCGCGGCTCTTCGTGTGACGACGTCGGCTTTGCCCCCTGGGGTGGCTTCTCTTCCTCCCCCGGCCATGCCGCCAAGGCTGCTCCGACTTGGCAGCCCCTAAGCGCCGGACCGCCAGAGAGGGAGCAGCCTCGGCTTGGAGGGGGCTTCATGGACTCGCTGGAAGAGCCCGGCCTGCAGGCAGAATCGGGGGCCTGTATGGAGAGGAAGCCGGCCGGCCAGCCTTGCACTGGCCGCCGCGCTGAGCATGCACCTCAGTTCCCTTCGCTCTTGCGCCTCCCGCCACTTGCCCTGCTCCAGCCCCGAGCTGCCTGAGCGCCCCCGGCCCCCCACCGCCCTCGTGGCCGTGACACCGTCCCCCAAGCCCTGCCAGTTCCGTCTCCACAACACCTGCCTGCTTCTCGCTGACTCAGTCGAGCTCAGCACCGGGCACCCGCCCAGGCCTCCTCGTGGCTCGTTCCGCTCTCCCCTCTCCGATGTGGGCAGTATCCTGCACCGCCACTGCACTCCCCCTCTTCCCGCGGCACCGGCAGGATCCGCCGCGGGTGCAGCAGTTGTTCCGCGCCGCCTCAAGCAGGCCCAGGAATGCCAGCTCCCAGGGTGGTGCAGGCCAGCCGAGCACCCCTCGCCGTCCTGCCCGTCCCCACTCCTCCCTGGGGCAGGAGCACTTAGTCTCCCTCGTGCAGGCGGCACAGGATCCTGGCCTTTCCACGTGGGCTGCTGGCACCGAGCAAACCGGTTGACGGCCATGCCTTTACTCAGCTTCTGACTGCTGCTGCTCTGCCGGCTGGTGGCTTAACTGGGCTTCACAAGAGCGCTTTGGGCCAGCAAGGGCCGAACCCTTGGCCGCTGGGCAGGCCGGCCCAAGCCTCGGCAGGGGTGCCCTTTCGCATGCTCTTCGCCCGACTTTCCTGGTGCGTCGGCAGTGCCCTGCTAGAGCCGGCGAGGGTGCCCCCCCCCCCCGGGCTCAAGGGAGGGTGCCGCTTGCGGTCGCGCTGGGCTCGAGGTGGGGGGCCGGGAGGATGTGGCTGGCTCTCGCCCGAGGCCTGGCTGGCTGCTCTTCTCGCAGGCGGAGAGCTGAGGGGGTGGCCACCCTGCATGTCTACCTGCTCAGCAAGGCTGCAGGGCGGCCGGAGCGGTTCCTCGGCCGCACCCCTGCCTCTTGCTCGGGATTGAGTCCGTGGGCAGCCCTCCCTTCCGGCCAGAGGGCCGGACTCTGGGTGGACCGTGGGCCACTCACGGCCCTGAGAGTCGGGGTCGGCCGCAGTGCGAGCAGCCCTTCCGCCCCCTCTGGTTGCTCCGGCCAGTCTTGTGTGTCCGTCAAATTCCGCAAGAGGGACGGAGATAATGGGATTTCAGCAATCTGCCAAGTAGCCCTCTGCGTGGACGGAAATCTCATTACCTCCCAAGTCGCTTGAAGTCCGGTGCTTGGCGGTGGCAGGACGCCGGTGCTGCGTACGCCGAGGGGCAGTGAGACTCGGACGTGCCTGTTTGGCGCTGGGCTGGCTGTCCGGAGGGGGCGGCTATTCCGAGGCAAGCACGGGCTTCCAGCCGATCTCGCCTCTGTCCTGGTGGCAAGCCAGAAGCTCGCGGCCTCCGATCTTTTGGGAAGCGGCACAGGAAGAGGCTTTGAGGGCTCTCTGTGCTGGCGTGTGGCACTCCGCGTTTGCCAGAACGGGCAGCGGACTGGCAGTGTGCGGCACAGTCCGGCTGGCTGCGGCCCCACAGCTGGTCAGTGGCAGTCATCCCAGAAGCACGGCCTGAGCGCCGGAGCCGAGGGGCAGCTCCCGCGGCAGGATGCGCCCCAGGCTGCTAACGGGCACTGAGCGTCCTGTGCCGGTTGGGAATGGCTGTGCATCAGGGTCGCCTCTGCCCCGTCCTCCTCCAGGTGACGGAGCCCCTGTCCTGCGGCTGCAGCTCTGCCCCCCCCGCCCACTTCTTGGCGTGCTCCTGACCGCCGCAGAGCCCAGCCTAGTAAGCTGCCCGTCTCAGGCGCCGGCCCTGGCAGAGGCCCTACTCACAGAAGGGCCCTCCCTTAGGCAGATGCGCTGACTTCCCAGCAGACCCAGGCCCAGACGCCTCTCAGGGAGGAGAGCAGGAGGGATCTGGATTGCCTCTGCAAAAAGAGGACGCGCTTTACTCGCTCAGACATTTCCCTCTCCCATTTGGGGTCAAAGCTGCAAAAATTTGTGCTGTGGTCAGTTCGTGGGTTCTGTTACCACCGGACTTGTCCTGTATCCCCTTCTGCACACCAGCCTCGCAAACGAGGTCCGCCGGCTCAGAGCTGTTTGGGGCTCTGAGTGGGGCTGCTTTTTAAAGACTAAATTCTGTGGCTGGCGTAACTTACACAAATCGATGCATTTTGCCTGTTCTGCCTCCGCATAGTTTGTGATTATCGCTCTTGCTTACTCCTTGCATAACCTGGGCTGGGTTTCTGCACCGAGCGAGTTGGGAGCCCGATGTGGCCCCACGGCTGACCGCTGAGTCGGTGATTCCTGGGCACCCACAGTTTCCCGAGCATTGCTGCTCCCTCCGGGGTACCTTGAGAACCCCACGGGCCAGAAGCTTGCCGTCTTGCGCAGCAGCGTTCTCTCTGCCAGAATGCACAACGCACACACACACGATGGACTTGGCAAACTCTGTACCTCTCTGCTGACAAGTCTGGCTCAGGTGTTGCAGGGCCTGAAGTCGCTTGCGTGCACACCGGGCGAGTCCCCGGGCGCCGTGCTTGGCGTCTGCGTCACGGTGTAAATGGCAGGCGGCCCTTTGGAGGAGCGGGGTGGAGCAGGGTTCCTCCAGCGGGGGGGGGGGGGGCGGGTCAGGATCGTGGCAACCTGCCCCAGCGCCCTCCGCCACAGAGTCTCCCCTGCAGAGCTGGTGGCACCCGCTGCCTGGCGCGGGCGCTCCGTTTCTCGCTCCCCAGAGGCCACGAGGGCAGACTCCGGGACGCAGAGGGGACAGGTCTGCACTGAGTGGGGTGCAGGCGGCGACTCCTGCGGTATTTTCGAGCTTTGGGGCCTGAGCCGGCTTGCGCAGCCAGCCAGGAGGGCAGGAAACGGTCCCAGTGGCCCTGTGGGAGTGAGCGGTGCGAAATGGGGTGGGGTGCACAACGAAACCGGAGGAGGCATCCAAGCTGTGGGGTGGGGGGGTGCTGGGCTGGGGCTCCTGGGCTGGAGCTCCTGGGCTGGCCTCTCACCCTTGCCGGCTCTTCAGCTGACCCCCACATCTCTCCTCTCTCCACAGTACAGCGCCGTGGACAACAACCCGCTCTCCCTGTATGTGATGCATCCTTTCTGGAACACCGTAGTCAAGGTGAGTGCGCCCCATGCCGGCCGGCCGGCCCGCCCTCCCGCGTGTGCTTTCTGTGCTTGGCGCGGGCCTTTAACATCCCTGTCAGCGGAGAGCGCCAGAGCCCTTTCCTGTCCCCGTCCGTGACTAACGCAGGAGCGCTCCGCAAGCAGGCTGTGGCGCGCGGGGACGTGGCTGCGGAACGGCACGGTGGCGGTCAAGGAACGGCCTCGCCGAGGCTGATCGTCGGCCTCCGTTCCCCGTTCGTGGATTAATGTGGGTTTTCTGCATGTCTTTACTGCTTTCCAATAGATTTTCCCTACGTGGCTGGCCCCAAATCTGATAACGTTTAGTGGCTTCCTGCTGCTTGTCTTCAACTTCTTCCTTATGGCACATTTTGATCCTGACTTTTATGCATCGGGTAAGGCTTTTCCTACAACGGATGTTTTGTGCACGCGGACGAGCTCGGCGGCACTCGTGCGGCAGGAGCTGCATCCCCGGGGCCGGCACGGCGCGCTGGGCCGTCTTAGCCGCTTGTCCTGCGGTGCGGTCCGAGCAGAGGGCGTGGGCGGGGAGATCTTTTGAGAGAGCCGTGCAGGTGGCTGGGGAGGGAAGGAGACGCGGTGCCCGGGACGGCCTTTGGTGGCAGACTGCCGCCTCCTGTTCAGGCTCCGTCCTGAAGCAGCCAGGCCAAAAAGCAGCAGGCACCCGCGTGAGCCGAGAGCCGGCATGCCGCTGCGGCTGCAGCCCATCCGGTAGTGCCGGCTTTGGGGGGGGGGGGGGCTGCCGCCAGCGAGTGGCCTGTCAGGGCCCTCCCGCAGGCCAGGCGAGGGGGCCCGGCAGGCCCCTGGGGGCGGTGCCTCCCTTCTGCAGCGCTGATCAAGAGGGGCGTCTTCCCCCGCTCGTTCGGAGTCCAGGCGGGACTGATGAGCAGCAGCATGACGGAGTGGGGGGGAGGACCCGGGGGAGGACGTGGCCGGCTGGCCACGACCCTGGGCAGGAGCGTGCGGCGTGGCCCCCTTCGTGGCTGGTCCGGCTCGTCTTAGTCCGTCCCGCGATCCGCTCTTCTCCGAGGGCTCGGGGTTGGCGGCGCGTCAGGCCAAGGCCCGTGTCTGGGGCGAGGCTGGTCCTGCAGCCTCCCTGGCTGAGGCCCGGATGGGTTGGCAGGAGCTCCCCGGGAAAGGGGGCCGACTCACTGCCCACGGAGCGGGGCCCTGCACACGGAGACGGGAAGGGCCTCCACGTGGCGCTGTGCGGAGCGCGCGCACGGAAGGCGAGGCCTGATCAGCTGTGTGCCGGAGGCTGTGGCCGTGCACAGGCGCACGTGGCTCTGTGCCCCCCACAAGGCTGCCCCGTGGTCTTTCCTGCCGCACTTCGGAACGAGGATCGCGTGTACTTCTGCGCCCCCCGTGACGGCGGTTCACCCCAGGGGCAGCCCTGGAGCCGTTCGTGGTCGCATGAACTTTCCCATGGGAGCAAGGGGGGGGGAGCAAGGTCATGCCCTCGAGCCTTCGCTGCGAGGGTCTGCAGGTCATCAGCTGCCCCTGAACACGGGGGAGGGGGGGCTGCTGCTTCCTCCCAGTTTAGTCCCCAGCAAATCAATCAAATGCTTGCCTTCTGTACGGAGCAGGGCCTTTCCCACAGCAGCCCCACCACTTCCAAGCATCCCTCCGGCCGGGCCACACGCCCCACTTCCTTGCGGCAACAGCCCGTCTTTTCCGAGGAGGCTTTGATCGACTGGCCTTGCAGCTGCTTGTCCCTGGCTGGTGATTCTAGTTTTAATTATTTCAGATTTATCAGTAGTATTTTATAACACCACCCACATGCATAACACTTCCGAATTATGGAGAAGTTCTTGCCTCAAGGAGAAATTCTCAGCCACACGCACAAGTTCTGTGCAAGATCTTCTGAAAAAGAGCAAGGGCGCTTTCTGAAAGTGATAATGTTCATGAGGCTGCCCTGAAAGACGAGTCCAAGGCTTCATCAGGTTACGGCACAGAAAACTCTGCTCAGATGGTTAATGCCAACATTAGTCTTTTCTTCTATGACGACGGTGATAGCCCAGCACGCGTGTCTTTCCAAGTGTCCGGAGCAGCTCAGGAAATGCTTTGGGCTTGGGCTACCATTGGAAGGTGGACTGTAGAGTTCGGGCTGCTGGGCAGTCCAGAAGCAAAGCGAAACGAAACAGCTGCAGCACTGCACACCCGGAAGGCTGCCCTGCGGCCGGGGCCGTCCCAGCAGGGCGAAAACGCAGCTCGCCCTTCCCCGGCTCTGCCGCAGCCTCTCCGGCGTGTCCTGCAGCCGGTACGCGTCCGCTGTGGAAGGTGCCCGGGAAGGCCGCCGCGGGCACTCGCTCTGCGCTGGCGCTGCCTTCCCGCCCCGGTCGAGGCATCGCAGAGGCTGCAGCGCACGGTTCTCCTGGGCATGCGCCGATGCTCACAGCCGCTTTCTCCCCGCAGCACCAGACCAGGCGCATGTTCCGAGCCACGTGTGGATCATCGTGGGCCTCCTCAATTTCATGGCCTACACACTGGGTAAGAGCGGCCGACCCCTTGCCTGCCGGGCCCCGGTCCGAGGCACGTCTCCCCATCCCTCGCTCGGTCTGCTGGGAGGCTTTTGCGGCAGCGTTCGTGGGGGGCACACGCCTGCGCGCGAGAGCCGGGCCCGTCTCGGCAGGGCCCGCAGCCTGCCCCGAAGGCTCCCCGCTCCCCCCTTGTGCTCCGGTGGCCACAGCCACTTCCGGCCACCAAGCTTGGTGGCCGAAATCAGCAGGCGAGTTCTCCGCGGGGAAGGGCGGGGGTGGTGGCCCATTCCGTCCCCCTGCCCGCGTGCTCAGCTCTCGCAGCCCCCGCGGCAGATTCGTCTCTCTGAGAGGGAGAAGCGGACAGAAGATTAGGCTCTGGGATTTGCAGTAATGAGCTGCCCTCCAGAAAGTGGTCCTTTTTCTTCCAGAAAGACACTTTAGCAGGCAGGAATTGTCTTTATTATCAAGATTATTGGTCACCTCTGGGCCTCTGCCGTCAGCTGCAGAAGAGACCGAATGCTTGTGCATAAGCAGATGACAGCAAAGACCATCCTGGGAAGTTGCTCTAGTGGAGCCATCAAAACCCGGTGGGCAGAGAAGGCTTTCCTGCGGCAGGGCCGCCGGCCTCGGCTCCCGGCTTCCAGGCCACAGCGCCTTCTCGCCTGCCCACTCGCTTGCTCCCCTCCCCTCCCCTCCCCTCCCCTGGTAAGAGCAGAACAGGTGGAGGTGGAGGTGCAGGTGTGCCTCTCCAGCTTTGCACCTGGCTGGGCTTTCCCACGAGATTCCGCTGCTTTTCCCCTCCTAGATTTTCCTCCCGCCTCAAGGCCCAGCCATCCCCGGGGCCGCAGTCTGCTAACCTGCCCCCCCCCCCATTCATTCCCCGCTTCCAGATGGCGTGGACGGGAAGCAGGCTCGCCGCACCCAGTCCAGCACGCCGCTCGGGGAGCTCTTTGACCACGGCCTCGACAGCTGGGCGTGCATGTTCTTCGTGGTGACGGTGTACTCCACCTTCGGCCGGGGGCCCAACGGCGTCAGCGTCTTCGTGCTCTACCTCCTCCTGTGGGTGGTCTTGTTCTCCTTCATCCTCTCCCACTGGGAGAAGTACAACACCGGGATCCTCTTCCTGCCCTGGGGGTACGACATCAGCCAGGTGGTAAGTCTGTCCTCCGCCCCCAGCCCAGCCCAGCCCAGCCGTGGGAGTAGCTCTGGCGGGGCAGCAGCGGCGCTGGCTCCCCCGGCTCTTGCCTCCCGGGGAGCACCACCTGTCTTCGCGCTCGCCTTCTTGCTCTCACCGCACGCTCTCTGGCACTGATAGCAGGACGCCGATGTTTGCTTGTTTGTTCGTTTAGAATTTGTGTATGCTGTCCCATCGCTTACAGCCTCGGAACGGCTCACATAAATAAGTAAGCGTCATACATAATAAAATAATACAATTAAAAACCCAGAATCACCCTGGCTGCAAAATTAAAACCTATAGATATTATTAAGAGTTGTTAAAATATTGTTTAAATAAAAAGGTCTTAGCCTGGCGCCGAAAAACAAATAATGACGGCGCCAGGCGGACCTCTCTGGGGAGCGCATTCCACAGGTGGGGTGCCACCGCAGAGAAGGCCCTCCTCCGGGTACTTTGCCTCCTGATGTCTCTCCTGGAGGAGGGCCTCTGCTGCCGATCTCAGGGGGCGGGAGGGCAAATATGGAAGCAGGCGTTCCTTCAGGTATCCAGGTCCCAAGCCGTTAAGGGCTTTGTAGGTGATAACCAGCACCTTGAACTGAGCCCGGACTTCGATGGGGAGCCAGTGAAGCTGGTAGAGGACTGGGGTTATGTGAGAGTAACGCCCAGTCCCCGTCAGCAACCTGGCTGCTCTGTTTTGCACCATCTGAAGTATCTGGACTGTCTTCAGGGGCAGCCCCACGTACAGCATGTTACAGAAATACAACCAGGAAGTAACCAATGCGTGCATCACTGTCACTAGACAGTCGTCCTCCAGGTAGGGATGCAGCTGATGGATCAGCTGAAGCTGAAGGAAAGCGCTCCTCGCCACCACAGTCACTTCAGCTTCCAAGGACAGCTCCAGGTCGAGGAGCACGCCCAAGCTGTGGACCCTGTCCCTAAAAGGGAGTGCAGCCCCATTGAGGGCTAGGTCCAAGTCACCTACCCAGGAGCGTGAACCACCCACCAACAGGACCTCCGTCTTGTCTGGACTGAGCTTCAGTTTATTGGCCTTCATCCAGCCCATTACCTCGGCCAGGCACCGGTTCAGCACAGCCACTGCCTCACCTGGATTGGTTGAAAAAGAGAGGTAGAGCTGGGTGTCATCAGCGTACTGATCGCTCCGCAGCCCACACCTCCGGATGACCTCTCCCAGCGGTTTCATGTAGATGTTGAATAGCAAGGGGGACAAAATGTACCCCTGCGAAACTCCATGGCATAGCTGCCACGGCGCAGAGCCAAAGGGAGGAGGAGGCCCGTTGCAGAAGGATTCTTAGCAAGGCTAAGGCTGATTACGAGCTTCTACAAAAAGGGCTTCTTTCAGCATGTAAATAGGAAGAGAAAGGGGAGGCAAGTGGTGGGACCACTAAATAAGGAGGAAGGAGATCCAGTGACTGACATGAGGGAACAGGCACAGGTGCTAAATGACTATTTTGCCTCTGTGCTCCCCAAAGCAGGACGGGGGAGATCCGCATAGGAGATTAGATGAGGCTGGGGACTTAGGGGCACAGATAAGAGTCACCCCCTTAGAAGTCGAGGGGCTCCTCAGGGCATTGGACATTACAAAGGCACCAGGCCCTGATGGGTTACACCTGAGAGTACTTAGAGAGTTGGCAGGGGTTCTCTCACGCCCGCTGGCCTCCATTTTTGAGGCCTCGTGGAGAACAGGTGAAGTTCCAGAGGACTGGAGGGTGGCATCAGTGGTCCCAATTTTCAAAAAGGGTAGTAGAAGGGACATGGGGAATTATAGACCAGTTAGCCTTGCGTCAATTGTAGGGAAAACAGTGGAAAGGCTCATAATAGCGAGAGATCTAGTGATGCTAGATAGGGAAGGGAGGCTGGCAGCCACACAACTGCCAGACAAACCTTGTGGAATTCTATGACAAGGTTTCGAGGTGGCTGGATGGAGGGGATGCAGTGGATGATGGTTTACCTGGATTTCAGCAAGGCCTTTGACAAAGTGCCCCATGATATCCTGGTGGCGAAACTGAGGAGTTTTGGGATACACCAAAGCACTGTCCGGTGGATTAGGGCATGGTTGACTGACCGAAAGCAGAGGGTAACCATGAGCGGGGAATCATCGGATGGCGGCCAGTGACAAGCGGGGTCCCCCAGGGCTCTGTCCTGGGGCCGATCCTGTTTAATCTTTTCATTAACAACATGGAAGAAGGGGTGAACAGTCTGCTGATCAAATTTGCAGACAACACTAAAACTGGAGCAGTGGCCACAACTGAGGAGCAGGTACTCCAGATCCAAAAGGATCTGGACAGACTGTGGAAGTGGGCAGGAGACAACAGGATGGCGTTCAGTGTGGATAAGTGCAAGGTCTTGCACTTGGGGCACAGGAATGGGTGTCTTAAGTACAGGTTAGGGGACAAGTGGCTGGAGAGCAGCACTTGTGAAAGGGGCCTCGGGGTGCTGGTTGACTGCAGGCTGAACATGAGTCAGCTGTGTGATGCGGTGGCCGAGAGGGCGAACGCCACTGTTGGTTGCATAGCCAGAAGTGTGGCTTCTAGATCGAGAGAGGTATTACTGCCACTCTACACGACTCCGGTGCGCCCACAACTGGAGTATTGTGCTCAGTTTTGGGCCCCTCGTTACAGGAAGGATATAGCCAGGTTGGAGTCAGTGCAGCGTAGGGCCACAAGGTTGGTGGCCGGTTTGCAGGGGATGCCGTACGAGGCGAGACTGAGGGAACTGGGCCTCTTCAGCCTGGAGAAGAGGAGACTCAGAGGGGATCTGTTGGTGACATGCAGGTATGTGAGGGGGTGTCACACGGAGGTGGGGAGAGACCTGTTCCCTCTGCAAAGGAAGGCAGGACGCGCTCCAACGGAGCCAAGCTCAGGGAGCCAAGGTTCAATTGGGATGCCAGGAAGCACTTCCTGACAGTTAGGACACCATGGGTGTGGAATGGGCTTCCATGAGAGGTCGTTCAGGCCCCATCGGTGAGGGTGTTCAAGGACAGGCTGGACGTCCCCGTGGTGGGCATGTCGTGAGTGGAGCCGGCTGGTGCCGGAGGTCAGACTAGATGGCCCAGGAGGTCCCTTCTGACTTGCTCTGTTTTCTGTGTTTCTAAGTCCCCCAGCACCACCTTCTGGAATCGGCCGTCGAGGTAGGAGCGGAACCACTGCCAAGCAGTGCCTCCTACTCCCAGCCCCCTTAGCCTCTCCAGAAGGATACCATGGTTGATGGTATTGAAAGCCACTAAGAAGTCCAGGAGGACCAACAGGGACTCACTCCCTGCACAGGTCATCATACAGGGCGACCAAGGCAGATTCAGTACCATACCTGAGTCTGAAGCCGGACTGAAATGGGTCCAGATAATCAGTCTCACCCAAGAGAGCTTGGAGTTGTCCCGCCACCACCCGTTCCAGCACCTTGCCCAAAAACGGGATGTTGGCCACCAATCTATAATTGGCAGCCATCTCTGGATCCAAGGACACCTTCTTTAGGACTGACCTGACCACCACCTCCTTTAGAGGGGCAGGCACCCGGCCGTCCCTCAGGGAGGCGTTGATGACCTCCAGGATCCAGGCCCCAATCCCGTGTTTGGCTTTGGTCAGCAGCCACGATGGGCAAGGGTCCAGCAAGCAGGTGGTGGGACGCACTTGTCCAGGCACCTTGTCCACATCCTCAGGCTGCAACAACTGAAACTCCTCCAACGATCTGTGACCAGACGGTGACGTGTTGCAAAATAGCTTGCGGGCAGGATTGTTTTCTGAGGCCTGATGGTTGGGGTGTGAGGGAGTTGTTCAGCAAGGACGCCCCCGGGCTGCGCGGGGCTCGTGGGGATCAGCTGCGGCGCTTTTGGGTTCATTGCGGCCTGCCCCTTGGGGGCCCCAGGGAGCGGCCGGCAACTGAGTTGGATGGTTGGTCTCTCCAGGCCAGTATCGACAGCGCTGACCGGCAGGGTCCCCTGCAGACGTGGGCCAGAGCCTGGTCCTGCCACGAGCAGGCGCTCTGCCACCTGTCCCCACTGTGGGCAGGCCAAGCTACCACGGTGCTGCCAACACGCCCCTGACTTTCCCGGGTTTACCCTCCACTCGGACACCTGTCTCCATCCCATTTCTGAACTTGGACGGCCTTCGGGGCACAAGGAGCCGTGGGGAGGGTGTCACGGGGATGCCAGCTAAAGCTCCAGGCACCCCTCCCAGCAGGTCATGTGGCTGCCAAGTCCCCAGGGGGCAGGACAGGGTCCTGCGAGACGCCTCAGATGGCTGCAGCGCCCCACTGTGGCCCCCAGCACCATATTCCACACCGGGCAGGAGGAGCTGGAGCCACCGCAGTCCCCGTGCTCGGCCCCGCTGGGCTGGTCAGCAGGCTCCCAGGACATGGTGTGAGAAGCGGCCGAGGGGTCCGGGAGAACGTGCCGGGCTGCAGTCCCCCTGCCCAGCTCCTACCGTAGGTCATTCGGCACCGTGGCGTCTCTCTGACGCATCCACCCAAAGCCTAATTGGAATAAGTCAGTTAGGACAGTCCATGTCATACGTCTGGTGTTCTGAGCCGCCGCTGCTGTGTGCCCTCGAGCTGCCCCCTCTTTGGTGCCACCTTGAATGAAAGCCCGAGGGGGTGCAGTTTGAGGCTGCAGCTTCCTTTGTGGGTTCAATCCATCATGTATCTGACTTGCCCCAGCGCGATGGCCTTCTCCAGGGAGTCCTGCCTTCTCATGACATATCCAAAGTGCAACAGCCTCAGTTTTGTTATTTTTGCTTCCCGGGAAAACTCTGCCTTGATTTGATCCAGGAACCAGTTTTTTGTTCCAGGGTGTTTTTAAAGCTCTCCTCTGGCTCTGTGTTTCCAACCCCCGCCCCCCCCCCCCCGCCCCGCAGCCTCTTTCACTGCCCAGCTTTCACCCCCGTGCAGATTGGGATGATCCCGCATGGATGACCCTGCCCTTGCTCTCCAGCGAAACATCCTTGAGGATCTTTCCTAGTTCCTTAATCGCCGCCCTTCCAAATCTCAGCCCTTTCTTCGAATTTCTTGGCCGCCGTCTCCCTTTGAACCAATGACTGAGCCAAGGCAGTGCAGTCTTTAACAATTTCAGTTTCTTCATTGTTGACGGTACAGTTCTGTAATTCTTCTGTAGGACATGATATTTGTTTTCTTAATATGCAGCTGCAATCCTGCTTCTGTACTTCCTTCTTTCCCTTTCATCAAGAGTCGTTTCAAGTCGTCCTGAGATTCTGTATAATAGGACGGCATACAAAAGCTTTTAATTAATAAATACATACGTCATTGCTGCTTTCTGCCCGTAAGACGGTGTCATCTACATGTCTTAAAACAGTGGTTGGTCCTCTGCCGACCTTCACTCCTTCCTCCGGTTCTGATCCAGCTGTCCTTGCGACCATGTTCTCTACCCAGACTGAGCAGACAGGGAGCGAAAATACACCCTCGTGTGGCACCTTTGCCTGTGAGAAGCCACCCCGTTCCTCTGTATTTTGGCCTCACGTGGCTTCCTGTCCGTCACGCCAGTCGCGCATCGAGTGTGGAGGCACCCCCGTTCCTTCCAGAGCCACGCGCAGCGTCTCATGATCCGCGTAGTCGGAGGCTCGCTGTACTCGACGCAGCATGGATGGGGCGGTCCAGCGTGCGGCCCCCGAGGCCTTGTTCTGCGGCCCTCGCCGCTCGGAGCCCCTCCCGTTCCCCCGCCCCCCAGCCTGGATCCCAGCTTTGGCACAACTGCGGCGAGTGGCGAGGCCGCCAGCCCGCCTGCTGTCTTCACTGTGACGGCCTTTCGAGATTTGCATATGTTCTCTAGCGCCTCTTCAGGGTCCGGCCTGGACGCCCGGCGTTTCTCGACCCAAGCAGAGCGGCATCCTCCCTTGCAGCCCTTGGGCATCGCTTTGTCCGTGTGGGAGGTTCAGTGGAACGGCCCTGAGCGCACCCCACTCTCCTGCCTTTCCTTTTTCGGGGATTGGAATATAGCTCGAACGTTGTCGGCCGTGTGGCCCATTGTTTTGTCTTCCATATCAGTTGACATATATTTGTGTCGAACTTGGACTGACTTGTTTTCTGCTGCTTGGAATAGTCCGATTGGTATCCTGCCTGCTCCAAGTGGTTTATTCTTTGCAAGTGCCTTTGCTCTCTAATATTGCAGGCTGTCCTCATAGTAGCCCCCTTTGTGGAAACCCGCCGTCCTTTCGTCTCTATTTTATAGTTCCTCTGTATTTCCCAGGGGTGGCCAAACCGAGGCTCGTGAGCCGCATGCGGCTCCTGGGCCTGCTTTTTTTCTTTTTCTTTTTTTTGGCGGCTTGCAGAGGGGCTGAAAAAACCTGAAGAGATTTGTAATCCGAGCGGCCGAGCGGCACAAACGAGAGCGGGGGACAAGGTGTGCGAGTCTCCCGCTGTGGCGACCGATCGTGGCGCCTCCAGTTGCACGGCTTCAGCTCTGAGCCTCAACTCCTCAAGCCCGGACCAGCAGCTGAGCCCGCGGCACGAAAACCCTCCGGGGAAAGACTCGCAGCTCTCCTGCGGCATCCCCAGTCGCAGCAGCACTTCGGTATCTCGCGTCTCCTCCGAGCCTCGAGCGGCAGCCGGGTCAGCGGTTCGTCTTCCTGCTGAGGCGGTCGTTTCCAGAGTGGGACACTTGGTGCGCGTCTGATGGAAAGGCCGCGTCCCCCTTGCACCCCGCTCTGATTCGCTCGCCCGAGCGCTGCCGCGTCTGTTCATTCCGTCGCTCACACCACGACTTCCAGCTCACCCGGATCCCTCCCTCCTCCTCTCGTTCCGTGTCCTGACCGTGTGCGTCGTGTGGCGCCGGGCCTTGCTTTCCCCTCCGTGCGTGCCAGCCACTAGGCTCCCTTCGGCTAGGATCTCGCGGCGCCGAGGGTGGCAGCGCTCTCCGTCCCCTTTGCTCGCCGCCAAGTGCCTTCCGGCCCTGGGGCGTCCCCCTCTGGCCCTGCCCGGTTTGCTTGCATCGCTTCCTCACGGGGTCCTTGAGGTTGGGGGATTCAGAAGCGGGCGGCACGGCCTGCTGCTGCTGATGATGTGGCCCAACCCTAGGAGAGGACAGGCGGCTCTCCGCCTGGCCTTGGCCTTCCTGCCTTCGCTGGCCCTGCTGGGAGACTGGGCTCCTGCCGGCAGACCCTCGGCTTCCTTGGCGCGCTCACACCCCCAGGAGGTGCCGGGGGGGGGGTCTGAGGCCCCCGCCTTAATCCCGACTCCAGTATGTGAAACTGGGGTGCTTCCGGAGTTTCCTAGGCAGCGAGGCCACGTGTGGCCCTGAGGGACTGGGACTGTGCTGCAGGCTCGCCCTTGGCCTGCTGGGTGGGGATGATGGGAGTTGCAGTCCAGCCCGCTGGCAAGACGCCCGGCTGGGAAGGCCCTTGGATCCTCCCGGCCTCCGCTCTTTGGTCCAGCCGTGCGTATCCGGGGACGTGTGTCGCCAGTCACCGATCCTGCCCCGTGCTGAGGCGCTGCCGGGCCGGCGCCCTTCCCGGGGCCCAGCCAGAGGCTTCCGGCACATGAGCACCATGCCGGCCCCTGGCAGGCGCCCTTTGCCCCCGCCCTCTGCCTCCCGCAGCCGCAGCCAGCCAGCCAGCGAGACTCTGCCGAGTTGGCCTTGAGCATCTCCTGGGCGTGTGGAGGGCTGGGCTCACTCTCCCAAGCAGGTGCCCCGCTCTTGGGGGCCCCCCCCCCCCCGTGCTGCAGTGGCGTGGAAATGGCACGAGGGGGAGGGGAAGGGGAGCGCCTCTGTGATGGGTGCTCTCCCGCGGCACCAGAGTTTTAGAAAGTGCCTGAGGAACCCTTGTGCTCACCCCTCAGTGTGGAAAGCGTGGGGCCGAGCGGGCGGGGGCCCAGCCTCAGCGCTGCAGGGCGCCCGCACGGCTTCGGGGACAGCCTCCGGGCAGCCCAGAGGGGCTGATCCTGCCCCCGTCCTGTGAGGCCAGCCAGGCCGCAGCAGCATGGCAGCTCAACACCCTCGGGGGCTTCGTGGCTTAGTGGGGGCGCAGACCCAGGTCCCCGCACTCCCGTTCTGGCGCACCTTCCCTGCACTGGGAAGGGAGCGGGGTCTTCCTGGGGGGCAAGTGTTCCTGCCCAGGGAAGCCCTGCTAAACGGAGGGGCAGGGCAGCTGGAGGTGGCTGAACCCCAGTTTCAGCTGAGCCCTCAAGTAGCCGGCCTGGGGCCACCTGCTGGGCTTGTGAACGGACTCGGGGCACATGGGACTGTTGTCGCTCGTTTCCCCCGGCCGAGTCAAGTAGATTCCGCTGGGACTCTGCGGGAACTTGGCAGAGGTGGATTCACAGTAGGAAACGGGTGGTGGGGGGCTCCCCTTCGCAGCTGGCATCTGCCTTGAACATACGGTTGTGGGGGCAGGGAAGCAGGAAGACCGGCCCTGGGCTGTTTGCAGGCCCCTCGCTCTGGGGGGGGCTTCGAGGGAGGAGCACATAGCTTGGAAGCATCCTGGATGCGGGGGGTGGGTGCTGGCACCCGGGCTCCTCCCCATTGGTTGCCCCCGTCGCAAACTCCCTGCCTGAAGAGGAACCCCCTTCCCCTCCCTGGGGCGTTCCTGGTGCCCTTCGGGGGAGCCTGGAATCTCCCGTTTTGTGGAAATGCCTTGCTGTGTTTCCTTCTGAGCTGCGGATTTAAAACGTTTAGGGCTTAAATAGCATTGCTTTATTAAGACGTATGGCTTCTATTTTTATTTGTAAACGTGTTTGCCTTTTATAATGAGGAGTAGTCTGGGACGGCATTGGCACCGGTCGGTTGTGCCACGCGCGGGTCTCCCACTGAGTTGCCACACACGGTCCGCCATTCTCTCTCTCTCTGTCTCTCTCGCGGTTGCGTTCCAGACCATCTCCATCGTGTACATCGTCACGGCCATCGTGGGCGTGGAGGCCTGGTACCGCCCGTTCCTGCTGAATTTCCTTTACAGGGACTTGTTCGTTGCGATGATCATCGGTAAGGACGGTCCTGCTGGGTGGGTGGGGGCCCTGCCACGGAGCGGGGGCTCTTCCCGGCCGCGGCGGCGGCAGGCTGTGCCTCAGGCTCGGAGGCAGGCCGCGCAGGGCCGTGCCCGCCTCTCGGAGGGGAGTCCGGGGCCGCCGTCCCCCTTCCGGCAGCCGCAGCCGACGGAGGCCAGGCGGGCCCTGCTGGGGCAGGAGGGGCTGGTGGGCGGGTCGTGACGGCCCCCTCCCCTTCCCTTCCCCTCCCCAGGTTGTGCGCTCACCGTGACCATCCCCATGAGCCTGCTGAACTACTACAAGTAAGTGGCCCCGGGCGCGAGCCCCTGGGCCCCCTCCGGGCAGCTGCCCACTGCGGGGGCGCGTGGCCAGCCTTGCCCCCTCCGTGCTCCGGGCGGGGAGGGGGCAGAGTGCAGCATCTGCCCGCCCGGCGGTGGGGCCAGGCCCCCTGGGCAGAGGCAGGCACTGCCGCCTTTCTCCGCCACGGCCTGCCCCACTCGGGCCGGGCTGGCGACGCTCCCGCTGCCTTGCGGGGGCCCCTTGGGGGTGCCGCGCAGCCTGCCCTGCCCTGCCCGGCCCAGCCCTCAAGGCCCCCCGGCGCCGCCTGTGCCCGCAGAGCCCACGCCAGCAAGATGCTGAAGCACCGCTCGCTGTACGAGGTGCTGCTGCCCTTCCTGTCGCCGGCGCTGCTCTTCGGCCTGTGCACCGCCTGGGTCTTCCTGTCGCCCTCGGACATCCTGGAAGTGCAGCCGCGCCTCTTCTACTTCATGGTCGGGACGGCCTTTGCCAACATCTCCGTAAGAGCCCTCTCCACTTCGCTGCCGGGCCGGGGCGCGCGAGGGGCGCTTGGCTCGCCACTCGCGTTAGCGCTCTTTGACTCCCACTCAGAGCAGCGCTCAGGGCAGTGCGCAGCAGAGGCTCGAGGCAGAGCAGGAGAGGCGCCATCGCGCGCCCCTCGAGGCGCCCCCCGAAATGGCCCTGCCTGCCGGCAGCGGGGCAGGCGGAGGCCCGGGCTTGCCTTCTGGGGGAGAGGCCCGGCCTGGGGGCAGCCAGAGCGCCACGCAGAGAGGGGTGGTGTGGGCAGGCCAGGAAGGGAAGCGCGTCCTCCAGGCAGCTCCCTCTCCAGCTGGCCGGGCCTCTGTCGCTTGTGGCCAGAACCGGACCGGCACCCAGGGGGGCTCTTGGGGGGCACCAGCTCCCTGCCACTTGACACCCGCCAGCAAAGGTCTGGCTGGCTGGGCAGGAGAGGCGTTCCGGGCCTCCGGGGCCCTCCGCGGGGGAAGGCTGCCGGGGCGGGAGGGGGGCTGCCGAGGGACGTGGGGCCCCGCTGACTCCAGGCCTGCCCCCGCAGTGCCGGCTGATCGTCTCGCAGATGAGCAGCACGCGCTGCCAGCCGCTCAACTGGCTGCTGCTGCCGCTGGCCCTGGCCGTCCTGGCCGTCCCACTGCAGACACGGCCGGAGCACGAGGCCCTGCTGCTCTCCGTGCTCACCGGCTTCATCACCTTGGCGCACGTCCACTACGGAGTCAGCGTGGTGAGTGGCGGGCGGGCGGGCGGGCGGGGGCTCTGGCCTGGCGGGGGTTGGGGAGCCCGTGGGGGGCTTGTCGCCTTGACCCCGGGGCCAAAGGGCAGGGCGCAGCCGGCCTCCTCGGGCTGGCACAGCCACGTGGGCTTCCGGATCGATCGCCACAGCCTCCTTCCAAAAGCCGTGCGAGGACGGGGGCGAGCTGGCGTGGCGGGCGGGTGGCCGGCCCGGGGACCCGGAGATCCGACGCTGCTCCCTGCTGGCCACCGCCGCCTCCTAGCATAACCTACCTCACAGGGTTGTTGTGAAGAGAGAGTGGCGCTCTGCAGGCCGCCTTGAGCCCCTCGCAAGTCAGAGAGGAGGGGTGCAAAGGCGCTAGTGGCCGTGGCGGCGCAAGAGACACGGGCCTTTGCTCACGGCTGGCTCCTCGGGGATTTGCCGTCTCTGAAACTGGCCAGGAGAAAGGGAGCGCAGGGCAGACCCGTCCCCCGCGCCAGCCGAGCTTCCACTCTGGGCCTGCGCAGGCCGAGGCCTCGCTCAGGAGCGCCCCGGTCGGACCCTCATGGCCTCCGTTGCGGGGGCCGGCCGGGACTGGCGCAAAGGCCCCGGGATCGCAGACTGCGGGGAGCTGCGGGGCCCGGCCGGGACCGGCCACGGGTGCCTCCCGCCCTCGCCTGGCACCCCGAGCTGCTTCTGTGCCCGCGGGCACGGGCCTCCAGGTGCCGCGCCCCCCAGGCAGCAGCCTGCTGGAAGGAGGGGCGCGTGTGCTCCAGCTGGGGGGGGTGCGTGCTTGCAGGGGGTGGGCCTGCAAGTGTCGCAGATTCGGCCTGCAGCGCTCAGAAAGGCCCCCGGGGGCTTGTGGGGTGCACATCGCGTTTTCACCCCCACACCTTTCTCTTGTCATGGAGGGTGCAGATAGGCAGCCGGGGGGGGGGGGCGCGTCGCAAAGCAGCCGCAGTGAGTCCGCCCGCCCGCTTGGGGTGCTAGGAGGAGGGGGCCGCCGTGCTTTGGCCAGCCGGGGGCTGCGCAGACGGCAACAGCGGCAGCGTCCGGGCTTCTGGGCAGGAGCGCCTCTTGCTGCTTGGGGTCGGTCCGGCTCCCCCCGCGTCCACCGCAGGGCAGGGCTGAGCCCAGAGCCGCGAGCCCCTCCCTGCGGCCGCCCGCATCTCCACCGCAGGCGAGCGCCCCGGCCCTTCCTCTGGCGCGCTCTTCTGCCTCGCGCAAGTGGGTGGTGGGGGCGCTCGAGGAAGTGCCCCCCACTGCTTCCTCCCGAGAGTTGGGGGAGCAGAGAGGAGGGAGGGCGTCGGCGACGGGGCTGAAGCAGGGGGCCCCTGGGAGCGCTTGCGGGGAGCTGGAGGGGAGGGGAGAGGCGCCCTTGGGGCAGCCGGGGGGAGCCCCCCCCCGCTGGGCTTCTGGTGCTCTGTCCCCACTCCACTCGTGGGCTTCCTGCCGTTCCCCTTCCAGGTGCGGCAGCTGAGCCGGCACTTCAACATCCGCACCTTCTCGCTGCGCAAGCCCAGCTCCGATTGACTAGACGTGGAGGCGGCGTCAGCAGAGGAGACGGTCGGCCTGCGTTCCGCAGAGGCGCTGTAAATGCAGCGGCCTGTGTACATATACTTCAGCCATCACCATGGGACCAAATTTGATCCGCTTTGGGTGGTCGTGGGGCAGAGGACTCGGGGGCCTGGCGGCCGGGCTGGAGGCCCCTTCTTCCCCGCCACGCCCCCCTGCGTCGTGCCGGCGCACTCTGGCGTGCTGCCGGCAGCGCCACACGGCACCGGTGCCCCGTCCCGGCATGCCCCGGGCCGGGGCGCCTCCAGGCCGAGCGCGGCCGATGCCCCGGGGCTCAGCCCCCAAGCGCGAGGACCGCGAGGCCCCCGGCAGGGCAGCCACGGAACACCCCCCACATGTGCTGCTGAAAACCGCGCCAGGAGCAGGAGGAGCCTGGGTGGGCGCACAGGAGACTTCTGGAGGAAAGGAAGAGCCCGCCCTCTGCCAGGGCTGGGGGTGAGCCCTGGCGGAGAAGCCTGCTCCCCGCTCCCGGACGGGCACCGGACTGCTGCGGCCACGGGTGGCCTCGAGTCTTCCGGGGCGGAGACGGCCACCTCGGCGGCGCTCCGGGAGGGCACGGGCAAGCGCGGTGTCGGGCAGGGGACGTGCGGGCCCGGCCGCTCAGAGCCGCCCGTGTTCCTTCCGGCGGATCACGCTCGCTTCTCTGCCCTCGGAGCAAGCGCAAAGGCGTGTCCGCGGAGGCCTGGGGCCTCACCCGGGGCCTCTGTCTGTCTCCCCCGCCCCCCCCCCGGAACCGTGCTCAGCAGTCTTTAATTCCATTCCGACTGCGTGGTGGTGGCGAAGAGTCGCGTGCTGGTTTCTCCCCTCTTCTGTTCGTAGCTTTATTCCGTCAAGACTCTTTTTAATTATTTTTCTGTGTGCTTGAATGAAGAGTGCCACCTAAAGCCAAGATTCTTGGAGAGGTTGCACCCGGAAGAAACGGAGCGCAGCAGGGGATGGAAGCTGACAGGCGTCTGCCAGCAGGGCAGCCGTGTGCTTTCCTGGCCGGACGCCAGAGGAAGGCAGCGCTCCGCTCCCGTGCGTGGGGGACGGAGCCCGTTCTTTGGAAATTGGAATTGTGGAATTGCTATTTAACTGTTCTTTTGTGAACTGGAATCATTATGTTGTGAGCTAGGTATACGCACTGTAAAATCTGGGAGCTGGTTTTTTTCCCCCCCCCCCCCCGGGCACATACTTAGACGGCTGTCTTTTTTCCTCTTGTCTTGTCTTGATTCTCGCAGTTAATTGCAAATCCATGTCTGGCGTGTGAACGAGCGAGGAAAGACCTTGTTCTGTTGCTCGCGATGCACTTTGCAAAAGGGGTGCGGGGGGGAAGGACCTGCTCTCCAGGCCCAGGCGAGGAAACTAAAGGATCCCAGGTGTTGCCCATTTGTGTACTGTTTCATGGTTGTAAACGTGAACCTGCAGTAGAGGGGAGAAGCTCGTACTTTTTTGCACAGGAAAGAAGGCTGATTGTACCGAAGAACTGACACACTTGAATTCTTGACATCGTGACAGCTGAAAGGCAGCAGAGAAGCCCACTTAAATTGTGCCGGAGACATTAAAAGCAGGGCACATCGGACTCCCCAGGGGGAAGTGGCCGATTCAGGGGTGGGTCTGCCTTTGGCACTGATGGGTGAATCACTGCGGAAGCACGAGTCCTCTGCCTCTTTCTTGGGAAGCGCGGTGTGTAAACGGGTCCTCCGGTTGGCAGTGACGGAGTCCGTGTCGCAGAAGCTGCTGTGGCGTCGGAGCACTTTGGGCGGGAGGTGAGGACGAGGCGTTTCGCAAGACCAAGCGGCCCTTGGCCGGCAGCGGCCGCGGGTGGGGCAAGGCTGGACAGGGTGACGCGGTGGGCCGTCCCTTCAGCCTCCTCCCACTCGTGAATTGCTGGAAACTCATGCCCTGTTAGACAAGCCCCGAGCAGCTTCCCGTCGCTCAGACCTTGGCGTTAAGAGACGCAGGTTTGCTTTTCCCTCCCTCCCTCCCTCCCTCCCTCAAAAGAAACCTGGTTCCACTTTCCTACTGATCAGGGCTTCTCATAAGGAATTTGGTGCCTTAAGGGACTTGCCTCAAGTTGAGAAAAAGTCAACTGTCTTAAAACATTTCTGTCCGAGTTAAAGGAACAAGCAGAGCATCTTCAGAAGTGAAAGCCGAGAAAATGGATCTGTGCTGCTTTTGTCTTAATTTCATTGCCACTTAAAGCGTATTACAAATTTTCAGTGGGAATCACATGCACCGTATATTCTCCCTGCAGTGCTTGGCGCATCTTTTTCTGTTCATTCCAGGTATTTTTAAAATAAAGGTACCGCCTGCCGAAGGGGCGGCCGCATGAATCCAGGCAGCGTTTGCAGGAGGGTGTTGCGGTTCTCCCCGGCTCGCCTGCTCTCGCTTTCTAGATCACCTCAGTGGGTAGGAGGGGGGAGGCTTCCAAGAATGCAGCTGGGGGAGTCGGGAGGGAGTCGGGAATAATTTGGCCAGCCTTTCTCTGCGAAAGCACAGGCGGCTACTCTTGGCGTCCCTGTGAGCGCGCGGCAGCCTGGCCCTCCCTGCAGTCTGCCACGGTGCAGCACCGTTCGTGACGCCTCTGGGCTCCACCGGCTCGGAAGCAACCCCGAATGGCTGGGGCCGCGTGAATCTCTTCAGTGCTTGTGGCTGTTGGCTTCAGACTGGCCTTGACTGCAGGGCCCCCACGGAGGCTCGGGTTCAACCCCCCCCCCCCAGGGTATTGAGCTGGTGCGCGTGTGTCTGTAATGGTGGCGTGCCTTCCCTTTCTGAGCGCCATCTTTGCTGGCAGACGATCCAGGAATGTGAGCTTCCGTGGGGACCGTTGGCACGGTCCTTGATCTCCCCCCCCCCCATCGCGTGGCTGGGGCTGGAGCCGTCTCCTCTTCTGTGCCTGCTGCGCCCCCATTGTCCTCTCCTCGGGGTCGATCCAGGCCTCGGCTTTGCCCGGGGGGCAAAGGATTCAGGGCACACGTGCGTGGAAGGGGCCCCAGAGCCCTGCCCCCCGTTGCGAGCGCCGTCCAGACAAGCCGAAGGGTCGCCAGGCAGGGCGGAGTTCACGGCGGTCTCACGGTTGGTATCCAACACGGCACAGTAGGAAGGGCGGCAGCGGAAGCGCTCCCTCGCCTCGGGGCAGGAGAAGGGGCCGTTGCGCGGGGGCCTCTGCCTGGGAGCGGGAGCGCGGCCTGTGCCGGTCCTGGGCCAGCTGCTTTTCTGGGTCTTCCTCCGTATCCTGGCACTTCTTCAGGTAGTGACATGGAATCCTCTGCTCCCTCTTGAGTGGTCTTCCCAGGGGCAGCGGTGGGCAAGAAGCTTCGTGCGCTGCCAGGCTTTGCCCCAAGAGGCAGCTGCGGGACCCCTTCCTCGGACGTGGGCCCCCCTTGCATCCCTGGGCCTCGTGGGCGCCCTCGGTCGGCCGTGCCCCCTGCCAGCCCAGGCAGGGCATCACTGCCGGCGCGCCAGAGAAAGCGGCTGTGCGGGATGTGGGGGGGGGCTCCCAGTAGGAAGCAGCGGGGCGGCTCTTCCCACCCCTTCATAGGTCAGGATTTACGTCTGCCTCAGACATGGTTGTGGGCTGACCGTCTCGCAATGGATTTGGATTTTGATCCACGAAATGCTATTGCTGGAAAATATTTATTGTATTTAAAAACTTCAAAAACCTAATATGAAATGAAACTTCAATAAAACATTTTCCAGGCTTTTTAATTCTCTGTCTTCATTTTGGGGGCGGCTCCGAGCTGCCCGGGCACAGCCTCCCCAGGGCTGGCGCTCGCTGCAGCAGGCAGGGCCCAGGTGGCCGCGTGGCCCCAGGCCTTCCCCTTTTAAAAGGCCCTCCGAGTGCTTTTTGGATGCTGCTGTTCATCTCGGCGATGCACGTGGCCTGTACTTACCTTTGCTGTCCCTGCATGAGCATTGGCATGTTTTCTGTGTGCCCCCAGAGCTCACTGGCGTGCAGGATGCGCCCCCCTGTACGTGAACGCATCGCAGCCCAGCATGCGCAGGTCTCCGGCCCAACTGGGCATGTTTGGCTGGCTGGACAAGCCCCGACTCTCCTCCCGCCCTCTCCGTCCTCCCCGCAGCAAGGCCTGTCCCAGCGGAGTCGCCACCGCTGCGCCCGGTCACAGGCGGAGCCTCCGCTCGGCTCCCACAGCATCCAGCAGCAAGTCCCGCTCCTGCGTGTGGCAGCGTCTCCCACCAGCCGCGGCAGTGACGGCGCTTGGCTGCCCGCAGCCTGATTCCCCAGCCGGGGCGGTCCGCTCCAAGCCCCGCGAGGCAGCCGATTCTGCGGCTGTTCACCTTCCTTTCGTGCCGTCACTCCGACTCCTCCGTTGGGTCGTGGCAGAGCAAGGAGTCCCGCGGTTGCTCTTCGCCCGCAAGGGGCCCACCTGTGTGGGGCTTCCCCGTGCCGTGACAGGTGGGGATGCCTGGATCTGGCAGCCCACGTAGGAACCTCCCTTCACCCCTCTGGGCAGCCCAGGCTCCGAAGCAAGCACGAGGAAATGCCTCCTGAAATGGGGAAATTTCAAGCCCGGCAGGAGGAGGTGACGAAGACGAGCGGGGCAGCGTCCCCTCTGTCCCATCTTCCGCGGAGGGTGCCGGCGCGCGCAAGGCCCCGCTCATGCAGAGCGGGAGGGAACCCGAAGCGGTCAGAAGCGCGCGAGGCCTAATCCTGGGGGAGGGCTTGGGGCAGCTCCTGCGTGAGGCCGGGCAGAAACTCGCCGGCCTCGCGGCAACATGGGGCAGAGCAGCTCCTCCCTGGCCGGCACCTGGGACGGGCGCTGCGCTCACGCGGGCGCCCGGTGAGGATAACGGAGAGCTGGGGCAGGGGAAGCAAGGGGGGGGGCGGCTGAAGCTCGTGGGGAGCCCTGCCCCCTCCAGGCCCCCTTGCAGGAGATGGGCCAGCGCTACGATTTGATCGGCCGCTTCAAGGTCGGCCTTTCCGTAGCGCCCTTCCCTCTCGGCTCGCCTGCACT